GTGTAATATCTTCTTAGAGCAGGCAAAAAATGAAATTGAAATAAAAACTTTAATTAGTTTACTTTATTGTTGCCCAGCAATTTATTGGTCTTGCAAATATGAATATTTAAATATCTAAAGCAGAGCTGAATGCGGGGTATATTTTGATATATATCTATATAGATATGTATCGAATTAAACTTGAGTTTCTTCAGATATTTTAAGTAGATGAAATTGTGAAGATGATTCTACTCATATGTAATATATAAACATTTATTAATCATATTTATTTTATATTTTTATATATATATATATATATCTATATATGTCTTATCCCCATTGCTTATTATCGATAACAATCGATAATTTTATTTGATTTGCAAGAAGCTACTTGCCGACATTTAAAGATCTTTAAGGAACACAGATTATGTATGCTTTATATATCATATCACTATATGGCCTATATGTATCTCATATATATTCCAATTAATTTCTTTGGATTCACTATAATTCGTGTATATATCTTATATATCTATAAAGTATATATTTCAAGATGTCAGATAGGCAAAGAAAAGTTTCAGCTGATATTTGAGTTTTCCTGTTATCTTTGGACGATCGATGGGCATTGCTGCTCGGTGCCCTCGATTGGGATCGTTTGCACCGATTGCCGCTTGCTGAAGCACTTTTTTTTTACCTTTCACCCAGCGGCGATCGATCGATGCTTGCTATAAATTCCAATGCTTGTCGCTCGATGGCTGTGAAAGGAGAAAGTTGTTGCTGTGCAACGGTGCAACTGTGCAACAGTGCAGCAAGCGGCAGGAACGCAGTGTGGCTGCAACAAAAGGCGGTGGCTTTCACACGCGGCTGCTGCTGCTGCTGCTGCTGTTGCTGCCGCCGCCGCCGCTGCCAATTGATGCAACAGGTGCAACAGCTGGCCCGGTGGGCGTTGGTTGGCCCCAAAGAGGGGGCGTGTCCCGCTTTTGCGTGCATTTAATTGTGCGTAATTATTCACTTTGGTTGTTATGCCAACGCGCAGCGGCGGCCCTTGCGCCCCAAAACATGGCTCTTAATTGGCTTAGTCGTCGCTAGCTAATTACTCAACGGACGAGTTTTCACTTCCCCCTGCGCCCTCCCCTCCCCTTTCGGCCCCCTTTGGCGTTTACCCTTGGTCCATGTTAAAGGTGTCTTACATGTGTTGCCGCCTCAAGTGTTTGCTTTCATTACATTTTCATTAAGTAGTTCTCACGTGATTCATAATCGGCCTATTAGCGATAACTAACTGGGCTAGCATCGAGCGTAAAGAAACCGATTTGAAGGCTTAAACCTTGCACTCGGCTTTAGTTAATTGAAAAGGTTTTCAAGGTATTTTGCCGCCTTTTTTATGGGTGCAGAAAAAATTCCATCTAAACTAGATCCAAGGAAGGAAGTTGGAAATCTTCATAGACTCGTCTGTATCATTAGATATATATCTCTGAAGAAGTGAGAAATTGTTAGAAAAGTAAAGTGAAAAATTTAAAGTTTTCATGTTTTTGCTAAGAAGTTAACGAAATTCCTATTGGAAACTCCCCTTTTTTTCTCTCTCTCTCTCTCTTTTTCTGTCTCTCTCACACTATTACATTGTAGGTCAAGTGCAAGCTTTGACAAATTGTTTGTCTATGTGCGTCTTATACAATTTTGTTGCATTTGACAGGCGCCGACATTAAATAATAACACCTGACAGCGGCACTCAACTGCTACAACCGTTTCCCCACCCCATCCCACTCCAGTCTGCTGAGCTACCGTTGTAACTCCTCACACAGCTGTCAGCATAACGAGTGACTCGCTCAGTGACGCCACAGTCTTCGTTTGCCTGCTTTCTCTCTCTCTCTCTCTTTCTGTCTCACTCACTCACCTCTGTGTCTATGCATGCGTATGCACATAGCACTCTCATACTCTCACGCTCTCACTCCACTTTTTCGATACTTTCTTGCTTCGTTACCCTTTGCAGAGCTTATGAGCTGAGTAAATGTGTTTCCGAATGTCAAAAGCTATATATATGTATACCTACGTATGTATGTGTGTTTGTTTGTATGTTTATGTGTGTAACGACAAAACGGTGGGCGGGGCGGGTGTTGTTGCCGTTGACAGAACGTCATCATCAGCTTCAACAGCGGCGCATCATTGTAATTTGAAAATTCATAGCTGTCGTCGTGTGACGTCAGAACGCAGACAGCCGAGTCGTGGGAGTAGCACAAAGCGAAATGCGCTGAGAACCAAATGTTGTGACTGTATGCAGAACAGTGATACGTTGTTGGTTTCCTTTTTGTTTTTGTTTTTTTTTTTTGTTTTTTTTGTTTTATCTATTAGTTTTTATTGTTGCCGCCACTTCTGGCTGCGTTTGTCTACGTGCTTTTAAACATGCTGCCGATGCCGCTGGTGTTACCGCTGTCGTTGCTATTGCACATTGGAGGAAATGCCAACAAAATGCTGTCATTGGAAACAAAACAAACCTGGGGCGTTATCAAATTATAAGGCTACTAACCTATATAATATAAATATCTATATTTTTTTTTTAATTTTCTTAAATGTTTGGATTACTTTTAAATGGCGAATACCTACAAAAAAATGATAATATTAACGTAATTATTATTTAGATAATTATTTTAATACTTATTCATAAATAGAAATGCTTGATAGTAATTAACGAAAGTAATTCTATTAAAGTAGCTTTATTGCTTTATGGGAATTGGCAGTCTTTTTCCACTGTGCGATGCTCGCATGTTGTCAATGTTCACGCCTGTTCAGCTCAGACATTTTGTTGTTTCTTTTTTCTTTTGTGCTGTGAAGTTCTGCCGGCTCTGTGTATGTGTGTTTGTGTTTGCGTGTTTTTGGCTTCTCGATTTTTCTGTGCAAAGAGCACGTAACTGAAGAGAGCAAGAGAGCAGAAAAGTCGACCACTGTTTGTTTTTATTGTTGCTGCTGCATTGCTATGTGCATGTATGCGTGTGTCTGTCTGTGTGAAGCCAGTCAATGGGACAAATACGAACATAGACACTTGCAGGAGCACGTGCACGCACACAGACAAACATATTTATGTACACATGGATTTATATACATCTAGCTATTATTGGACTGCAGTCAACCACACGCTGGTTGACGGCGCCACCTGTCGGTGGCTTACCAACAATGCTTGAATATATTTACGAATGGGCAACCGACAATGCAATACCCTTCGGTGGGCACTGGTTGATCAACTATTTAACAGGCAGGTGACTTTTGCACTTGTGGCGCCTGGCACCTGCCACCTGGGCGTGCAAGTTGGGGCAGCGCAACAACACTTTAATGACGCGTCGAATCGGTAAATCTTTAAACGCGCTTTAAAAAACCCGAACGCAACCGCGAACTCGAAACCGAAAACAAAAAAACGCGAAAAAAATACAAAAAAAAAAATAAAAAATAAAAAATAAAAATAAAAATAAAAATAAAAGAAAAACAACAACAAAAGCAAATCGAAATCAAATATTTTACAAGCTTGTTGCAAGTTTTATGAGCCGTTCGCCTTGTGTTCTACTTACTAAATTGAAATTGTGTCTGTGTTTTTTTTTTCTATATATTTATAGCAAATATAAGATGCAAATATGAAAACAAATCAAAAGCAAATGCAAATGTATCGAAGAAAAGTTGCCTTAACAATGAAACTTCCTTGTTGACATTATAAACGTACATACGTACATACATACATACATACATATATATATATACAAAACAATACAGTAAACAACATATATATACACTCAATTATTATACATATATACAAATATATATACAAACAAACAAACAAACAAACATATATATATATATTTTTAATACAACTCAAATTAAATAAATAAAAAATAAAATCAAAATAAATAAATAAAAAATTTGAAACTCGCACCGCAATGCGCCTAAAAGAGACCACGAAAAAGTCACCAACGCTGCTGCCGCTGTCCGGCGAGCTCTTCAAGACGCTGCGCATATCGCCGCCGACAGTTGCGCAACATCAGCAATATCTGCAGCAGCAACAGCAACAGTTGCAGCAACGCTGCAGCAGCGTCGGCAGCACCAGCAGCAGCGGCACCTGCGAAACGGAACGCTCCACGCTCTCGACGTCGTCGGCACTGTCGCCGCTGGCCGCAATGGCCGCGATGCCCGCGATGCCCGCAACGATGCCCGCGCTGCCCGCCAACGTGGATGAGGCAGCCGCCGCCGCTGCGCTGGCGGCCAACATAGCCGAATCGTTTACGTTTCTGCAGCAGCATGCGGCGCATCATTTTCGCGACATTTTGTATGCGGCCCACATGCTGGGAAGAGGTACATGAGCAAAGGGCGGTTGGTCGGGCGGGCGGGTGCTGGGCTTGGGGCAGGTGTTGGGCATATGCTAGGCTAAGATTGTTGCAAGACCAGCTCTCCGTGTGGCCAAGCGGCTCGCCTAACTAGTTTGGCTTTAGCTGCTTGTTGTATTTGTTGTCTTTTTTTTTTTTTTTTTTTTTTTTTTTTTTTGGCCAACCAGCCAGCCAACTTTCACTTTATGCTTGGTTGCCGCATTTCACTTGGCTCCAGCCGCCACTCAGAAAAATAATCAAAAAAAAAAAATAAAAACTGAAAATAATTTTTTTTTCTGATTTCTGTTTTTGGTTTTGTTTATTTATTTTCTTCTGGCTTATTGCAGGTTATTATCAGCCGGCGGGTCCGCTGATCTCGCCGCATGTCATTGCGCCGCCGCCACCGCCAGCCACAACAGCAGCAGCCGCTCAGGCAGCGGCAGCCGCAGCGGCGGCCGCAGCAGCAGCAGCAGCAGCCGCAGCCACAACAACAACAACAGCAGCAACAGCAGCAGCAGCTGCTGCCGCTCCACAGCCCATCAAGAAGCTAAGCGAGGACGAATCGCCGACGAGCACAACAAGCGCCACACAGACCCAGCCGCAAGCGCAGCAAGAATCCTCAGCAGCAGCTGCAGCCGCCCAAGCAGCAGCTGCAGCCGCAGCCGCTGCAGCACACCAGCAGCAACAGCAGCAGCAGCAGCAGCAGCAGCAGCAGCTTCAACAGCAACAGCAGCCGCAACAGCCGCAGCCATATCCGGGCGCTAGCGCCGTGGCGGCTGCTGCAGCGGCCGCTGCCGGTCATCCGGGCGTGCCATATCCACGCTCCATGCACGCGGCCCAGATGCACTATTCGACGGCATATCCGCCCAACTATTATACGCCGTATCCGGGCGAGGTCATGTGCTATTCGCCGCCTGCGTATCAGCCCTATTTCACTAGCAAGGTCTATCAGAGCGGACCGCCGCCGCCCACGCATCCGGGCGCACATCCACCGCCGCCGCCGCCGCCGGGCGCCTATCGACGCTATCCGTACTATCAGCACGCTGGGCCACCGCATCCGCCGCCGCCGGAGCTATACGAACAGCAACCGCCGCCGCCGCCGCCACCGCAAGGTGTGCCACAGCCGCCGCCGCCGCAGCAACAGCAGCCGGTCTCGATTGCCGCAGCGGCCGCAGCTGCCGCCGCCGCAGCAGCTGCAGCAGCAGCAGCCGGTGCCACGCCCGCTCCCGCCGGCACCCAGCTGGTGCCCGCCCACCAGCACCAACAGCACCTGGAGCACTATCCCGGACCGCCCAGCTACTACGCCGGCTACAGTCCAGGAGGCGCCAGCGCCGCCGGCCAGTGCTACACGCGCGGTCTGCAGGGTCCGTATATGGGTAAGGAAAAGTATGGTTCTTGCCACCCAACCAAACCACAGCTGCTCAGACACCACCAGCGCTTGCCAGATCAATGTAGACACAATTGGAATGGAATCCAATTGGACTTGTTCTTATAGCAGGCAGACAAGGGCAATAGAGTTCTTTAAAATGGGGAGAAGACAAAACAGAAACAAAACAATTGGACAATAATATATCCAATTGGAATCTATTGTTATAGTAGCTACTTGTCAGGTAGGCAATATATATATATATATATATATATATGGTTATATATGGTGAAGAGTGTCATCGTTGCTAGGTAGATAATATATAAAGCTAAAGATCTAGGTTAAATATAGGTCTAGGCAGAGATAGGATGAACATGCAGTAGTCTAATTGGAAAGTGAAATGGATCAAATTGGATTTTTTAATTTATTTATTTTAGCTGTATAACAGATTGACAATGTAAAGATAGAGATAGTCGAATATGATAATTATTCTGTTAAAGGAGAAGACATACTAAAGAGTTCCAGTTGGAATTATATACACCATAGATAAATAGATAGATAGATAGATGGATAGATAGAAAACTTTGAAAAATTCGTAATATTAGTTTTAAATAATTCAATTGACATACAAAAGTTGAAATAATTTAATTGGGAGTTTATCCAATTAGAATCGATCACATAGTCATTAAAGCTACACCAGACAATATATTAGCACCACATAAGATAAGATATCTGATTAAAAGTAGGCGACAAAGTAATTATTATAAAGCAACACAGTCCAATTGAAATTGGTATGAAAATTATGTCTGATTGGCATCAATAATAATAAGAATAAAGATTAAAATATGATTCAATATAAAAAAAGATATAGTTCTTGGGAAAAAGACGACATGCAAGAGAACAACTGATGCCAATTGGAAATAATTTCAATTTAAATAAAATAAATAAATAAATAAATTAATAATAGCTCTTTACAAAAGAAACTACAATCCTTTTAAAGCACATAAGACTAAAAACAAAGTCTTATTGGAATATAAATTATGTCCAATTGGCTTATATCGTATAGAGCTTCAAATTTCAGAACAGGCTAACAATATGAGCTTATAGCTCCATATAGAATGCTTAAGAACGGGTTGAATCTTAGAATAGATGCTTCTATTATAAGCAAAAGCCATATATCTTATAGATCAGATATTATATCTTTATATGTGAATAGAGATATATCAAGTTAAACAAGCTCAAAGGTTTTTCAATTGGGTTGCCCTTTGATAAGTAGAAAGAGATCTTAGGAATTCAGATTTTTGACTGATAAGCAAATTAGATATTTGTAGAAAGTAAAGTCAAAATTTATAGTTTAAAAGTTTATAGATTTATAGTTTATTGCATTCGATAGTTGGTAAACTGAAATCCAATTGGAAAGTATTACTAAACTGAAATCTTTTGCAGAGTATCCGCCGCAGTGTCCGTGTCCAATGCAACAATCGTGTCCAAAAAACGTCCATACTGGGCCTCATATTGGTAGCAACAGCAGCAGCAGCAGCAGCAGCAGCAGCCACAACAACAGCAGCAGCAACTGTTCCACGCACAAGACGAGCAGCAGCAGCAACAGTTTGCTGCTGAATGCTACGAGCAACAGCAGCAGCAACAGCAGCAGCAACAGCAACAGCAACAGCAACAGCAATATGCCTGTGCATGGCAGCATGCCGAGCAGCGATGGCAGCAACAGCAACAGCTTGACTTCCAGCGACTGCAACAGCAGCAATACCTTAGCAGCAACAGCGATAACAACGACAGCAACAGCAACAACAGCAACAGAAACAGCGCTGACTACCAGTAGAGGCCCAGTTAAAAATGGCAACAACGAGAGGAGCAAGACGACAAGCAGAGACACGACAACAATGACAACGACAACGCCGACGGCGACGGCAGCAACGAATACGACGGCAACAGTTGCATCCGTGGCCACGTCGGCCACAACGACCACCAACAACATGGGCACCCAGTGCCAGATGCTGCTCAAAACGGAGCTCAAGAGCGACGCCGAGTGCCAAGTGACCAAAATGCAGTACGAGGCGCATGTGATGCCGCCGCCGACGCCGCCGGAGAGCTACTGCGCCAGCGACGACAAGTTGCTGGAGGAGCACGAGCAGGAGCATGAGCTCGACCAGCAGCAACAGCTGCAGCAGCAACATCCAAAGGACATTGAATCCTACGATCTAACCGGCAGCACGCCGCCGCCGCCAGTTGTGCTGCCGCGTAAGGCGCGCATTGGCAAGAGCATGGCCAGGGAAATGGTCTATGCGGCGCAGCAGCAACAGCTGCTGCTCAAACAACAGCAACATAAACCACATCAAGAGCAACAGCAACAGCAACAGCTTCTGAGCAAGCAGGCTGAGGCCGAACCACAATTGCCTTTTGTACTTAAAGCAGAAATCAAAGCGGAAACCAAAATCAAAATCGAACACGACGAGCTGGCGACAGCAGCAGCAGTTGCCGCTGCCTCAGCAGCTATAACGGCGGCAACATGCAACACACATATCAGCAAAATGCCGGATCTGAAGCCCACAATTAAAACGGAGCCGGAGCTCGACTTGGACACTCAAAAGCCAATGCAGCTGCAGCAGGATAATGAACAGCAGCAGCAACAATTGCCGCCCGCCGACAGCAGCAGCAGCAGCAGCAGCGTTGCCAAGCAGCGCATCAATTTGCTGGCATCGGCGACGCAGGGCAAAAAGTCAAAGCCTCACAGCTATAAGAGTCTCATCAAGCAGGCGGAGCCAAAGAACTATCTGTGTCCAGGCAGCAAATTCGTGCGACGCTACGGCCGGACGCCGGCCAAATATGTTAAGCGGCGGCGGCAAATGTTGCTGACGCAGCGGCAGCAACTGTTGCGGCGCGAGCAATTGCAGCAACGCAAACAGCAGCAGCAGCAGCAGCAGCAGTTGCAGGCGCAGCAGCAGCAGCAGCAGCAGCAGTCGCAGGCGCAAACGACAGCAGCAACACAGCCAACAGCAGCAGCAGCAACAGCTGCTGATGAGGCAGCTGCAACGACAGCAACATTGGCCTTAGCCAGCAATTGTTCGCCCAGCGCATCGCCTAAGCGTGCGAGGCCGCGCAAGCAAGCGATTGCTGCGCTGCATCTGCTGAACGGCTTGGATACGACGCTGACGCGTGGCTATTTTAGCGATCCGGAGCTGAACAGCAGCAGCAGCAGCAACAACAACAACAACAACAACAACAACAACAGCAGCAATCACAATCGCAGCGCGGCAACTGCTGGGCTGTACGCGCCGGCAATACCGTCGCCGTTGCTGGCGCCGCAGGCGACGTCGGTCAGCGAGAAGCGTTCCAAGTCGGAGACAAAGAAGCCGCTAAATCAAGCGAGTTGTGCGGCCAGCGTTGTGTTGGCGTCGCTGGCGACGACGACGGCAGCAACGCTGCCAACACAGTCTACTACCTCAGCTGGCGTTGAGCCGCCGGCCAAAAAGGCGCGCAAGCAGCCGGCCAAGGCCAAGGCCAAGGCCAGGCCGACAACGGCCAAGAGCCGAAAAGCGGCAGCAGCAGCAGCAACGATTGCTGTTGCAACAGTAACAGCAACAGCTGCTGCCGAGACCAACAACAATGAGTATCAAACGGCAGATTTGCAGGTGCAAAAACTGAATGCCACGCCCACAGTGCCAGTTGCTGCTGCTGCTGTGCACGAAATGTTGCCAGCAACAGCAGCAACGACAACAGCAACAGCAGCAGCAGCAGCACAGTCGCAGCAACATTCCGATGAGCAACACAAGTTCCTGGTGCCCCACAAGCCAATTGAGGCACCAACAACGCTCGCAGCAACAGCAACAGCAACAGCAACAGCGGCATCCACAGCAACACGACACGCGCCGACGGCAACGCACACGAAACGCGCGCGTTCGCGTTGCAAATTCGGCAATCGCAAGAAGCAGCGACAGCGGCCCAGCGGCGTCAGCCACGAGCTGGACGAGACACAGCCGCCGGCAACGCGCGCCAACGTGGTGCCCAAGTGGAACAACGGCTGGATGTGGGCGGGCAAAGCGTTCCAGGGCCCAGTGTTTCTCAACGTGAGTGGCTACTGTAGCTCGCCTTAGGCAAACATCACAGTCTCTCTCTCTCTCTCTCTCTCCCTTTCTCTGTCTTCCCTTGCAGAGCGATGATCCGTTGGTGCTGCGCACCTGCTACCCAGCCATGCGGCATGTGGAGGGCGACATTATTCGGACACGCGACTGCGTCCTGCTGAAGGCCAACGAGGACAACGAGCTGCCCTATGTGGCCAAGGTGGCGCATCTATGGCAGAATCCCGAGGATGGTAAGACAAATCATAGCCAGAGACAGGCCTACGGGGGAACTAGTTCACGAGAGGCCAAAGCTGATATTAAAATGTGTGCCAAAGACCTTAATGTTCATTAAGAAACGGAACTAGTTCACAAGAACTGATTGTAACAGATAATAGTTTGTAAAAGTAAACGAAAAACTCAATGAACTAGTTCATTTTCTGTTAAAAGATATTTAATAGCAACAAGACCCAATTGATTTAATGATTGTGAACAGGAACTGGTTCACAATTAGATTGTGAACATAAGCTACTTTAAATTGACAAAAGTTCAAGCTTAGAAATTTAATCAAATGATAAAAATTCACATGAAAAAGTCAATGAACTTGTTCTTTTTATTGAGCAACTGCTTCAGAGTTGAACCAGCTCAGTATATCGTAGTGAACGAATCACACGAAATTTATACAATTCATAGCTTGATTAACGAAGAGCGAACTAGTTCATTAGTTTATACAAGAGAAGAGCGAGTAAATCATCGTGAACAGGAACCAATGCTAGCTAATTTTAATGTTCTTTTGAATAAAATGTAGAAATCCATAATGAACTTGTTCTTTGGCCCCATTGATCAAAAGTGAACTAAATGAACTAGTTCACTTTTAACCAAAAAACTGGTTATATAATTTAAATATCGAAGAGATATTAATTTCATTAAATTATCCATTTCAAAAAAACTGAACTAGTTCAAAAAACTAGTTCATAAAGTGAAAACCTTATTAATTGATATGCTTTTCAGGTGAAATGATGATGTCACTTCTATGGTACTATCGCCCAGAGCACACGGACCAGGGCCGGCAGCGCAACGACTGCCCCGATGAGGTTTACGCGTCGCGGCATCGGGACCACAATTCGGTAGCCTGCATCGAGGACAAGTGCTACGTGCTGACCTTTAGCGAGTACTGCAGGTGAGCTGTCAGATTGATCACTGATCTGGGGTCAGTTAACTAATGCACTAAACACTCAATTCACTCGCTCAGATATCGACGACGTCTGCGCGCCGCCGAGGAGGACGTGGAGGATGTGAGCATTGTGCCGCGTCGCAGCAATACAAGCAATTGCTTTGCGGTGCGCACCGTGCCGGACCAAACCAATCCGGAGCTGGTGATGTTCTGTCGACGCGCCTACGAATTCCGCACGCGTCGCCTGCTCAAGCTGCCGCAGAAGAACGCGCTGGTGTGCAGCTAGCGCCGGGCATCTTAGGGCCATGCCCTAAGCGAGCATCAAATCAGAGTTGCGAATGCATTGAACGCATTGGAAAGCGGCTTTTGTCTGCAGGGATCAGGCACAGCCCGAACAGTCTGGATGAAGGTCACCGACAGGCCAAGACAAAACATATAAAGAAAACACTCACACACACACACACACACATACACAAACACACACACGACCAAAATGAGGAGAGCAAAATGAATGAATGGAACTGGTTGGAACACACGCAGTTTAATTTCAAGCAAATCTTTGTATTACATAACTTCTTATTTATTATGCGCCCAACAACAACAACCAAACCCACACACACACACACACACACACACTCACTCACACCACTGGTTACTAAGTTAAATGTATTTATTATTATTAAGTTTAGTCAGCAATCTTCTTTCTGCTCCTTTACTCTAAATGTGTATATGCTTTTATGATTTGTTAACTTCTCCTCCGGACGCTACTCTATTCGAAAACGAAAAAAAAAAAAAACATTAACTAATGCTCAGGCAAACACTTTGCGCACACTCGGGCGACTCGTGAAGCGAGTTGAAAAAGAAAAGAAAAAGGAAAAAACTTAACACAATTCTACGAGCTGTTGGTTCTTTTGTTGTTAGTTTTTGTAAGCAAGAAAAAAGATGATGAAGAAGAAGAAAAAAACAGCAAATTTTTTTTGTTTTTAATTTTATATTGAGCAAAATACTTTGAGAAATTTGATTTCTGCAACAAATTTAATTTACATTTAAATATATAGACCAAATTAAGTATATATACTAAATATATTATTTTTGTATACAAACTTAAGACCATACACATATATATATATATATGAATATAAATATATAATTTATA